CTGGGCAGGAGCGAGTGTCGCACCGAGATGATGTTTATAGCTTTACGATAATAGTTGGGGCTTGTTTTAAGGCTTGACGCCTGAGGTTTAATATCCCTTCCAAAATGTTTGTTATAATAGTTAATAATAATTCTATTCTAGCTATCCACACAAATGTCCATTTTCTCTTTCAATCTTGCTAAAATCTTGGCCTCAGTTACATCTTGTAGCAAAGAGTTCCACAATCTAATTATTACTAGTTTTGAATTTTCCATATTTCAGTTTTATTGAATGGCACATTGTTCTTACCGGTATGTTATGAGATGCAGACAACAGGAGCACCTGATCTACCTTCTCTAGATCATTCATTAGTTCATATACTTTATCACGTTCCCCTTTATTAATTTCCTTTCTAAAATAAATAATCCCAGTCTTTTCTATCTCTTCATATGAACGTTTTTCCATGCCCCTTGCCGTTTTCCTTGCTCGTCTCTGAACCCCCTTCTGTTCTGTAATATCCTTTCGGAGACAAAATTCATGAGGTTAATTTTTCCCTATTCTGTATTGTATTTAATTTTATTTTTAACTACAGTTGTCAGTCTTTAAAATGTTTTTCAAAGCTATAGTATTAGTATAACACAACCCTATAAAAAGGATCAGCCACGCTGTACAAAGAGATGGTATTTTCTGATAACCATTTTGGACTGGGTGACTGTATTCCAATGAGGGAATTGAAATTACCAGTGGAGGGTTATTGTAAATGTGTCCCTCTTTCTCTCCACAGAATCAAATCTCTTAGGATCATGCAGACCAGAGATACTGTGCAATTTGTAGCACAAGACAGGCAGAACATACTACAGTTTTTCAAGTCAGCAATTTGGAATTCTTTCATAGTGAAGTCTGCTTCTTCCTTAACTGAACATCCTCACTCCAATTTAAATACGAAAATTCAAAAATCGTTTCACTACATTTTACTGCATTAAGTTCTCATTCACCAGCAAAGTGCTTAAGCCTATGAATAAGGATCTGTGAGCAGAGTTTCACTGCACTATATCAGAGGCTTCACAACAAAGAGGCTTTACCATGTACCGGTATATTTTTTTTGGC